ACCGAGAGGGACTTTTCAATGGGCCTCTGACCCCCGTTGGCTCTGTGACCCCTGATGGGTTGCTCAAGCTCTCTGGACCCTGGCTATATGGCTTGCTCAGGCCAATGTCTCAGTCAGCTCAGAATGCTATAACAAAATACCATAGACTGAGTAGCTTAAACAACATAAATGTGTTTCTCACATGTTTGGAGGTGGGGAAGACCAAGATTAAGGTGCTGGCAGATTCAATTCCTAATGAGAGCCCTCTTCCTGGCTTGCAGATGGCCGTCTTCACACTGTGTGCTTACATGGCCGAAAAAGATTATTTCTCTCATGTCTCTTCATAAGAGCACTAATTCCATTCATGAGGGCTCCACCCTCATGACCTAAGCACTTCCCAAAGGCCCCACCTCCTAATACCGTCACATCAGGGATTCGGATTTCAACGCATGAACTTGAGGGGCACATTGAGTCCATAGCAGCCTGTGTGCCCATTGCTTAGGGCAGAGGTGACTGAACCATGTTGAGTGCTGGCTGCAAATGAATCTCATCACAACAATGAGAAAGCTGCACTTGCCAAGAAGGGGGTGCAGAGGGGTCAGGCAGAGGCACAGAAGCCAGTGTTGTAGAGTGTCTGTTCCAGGCCAGGAGCCACACCAAGAGCCCACACACAGGTGTATCAGTCATTACCACAGCAACCTGCAAGACAGGTAGGTCAACTCCACTTGGCAGATGGGGCCCAGGGAGGCGAGGTGACTTCTCCAAAGTCACACAGCTCATTTAATCCCTCAGCCATAGAGTGGTAGCTCACGTGGTATTTGAGTGAGGCAGTAAGAAAATCAGAGTCTGGTGGGCTTTGGCTAAGGAGACAGCTGCCTGCTCTAGTTTTAGCCTCACACCCGTGCCTTATTATAACAAAGAGACACTGGGGAGTGGAGGATAGGGGATGTATCTCAAAGGAAAAAATGCAACTACTGATTCTGACATCTTTTCAGACCTCCAGCAAACCTGCAACATATATGGAGGGGAATCCCAACTCCATTTTATAGATGAGGAAACTAAGGTATGAGGACCTATCTAAAGTCATACCTCCCAAAGACAGATGACCCAAGGGCTGATCGATTCATTCACCAAGCATTTATAGAGTGCCTTCTGAATGCCAGGCACCATACTAGGTACAAAACAGACATGGCTACTGTTCACACAGAGCTCTCAGGCTCCCAAGAAAGGGACACAGCTAAGTAGGCCTGAACAATAAAGTGTGAAGTGCAGTATGATACGAGAGGTGTCCGGAGTTGGGAGCATTTACACACTCCTGGGTGGTCAGAGAAGGCTTCCAAGGAAAGCGCACTGTGCTGAGCAGAACAAGCCATTGTCTGGGTGGGGAAGGCCCAGATAGTGGAGAGTGCTCTATGACAGATATGGGGCAAGTATGGAGTTTTCAGTGAATTCTATACAAGCTAGCAGGTCTTCAGTTCTGTCTGCCAGAAGATCATTTGTGCAGCATCATATAGATGCTTCTGTGCCCGTGGACTTCACATTTTCAAATCAAGCAAATCCCACAGTCAGATCCAGTACCGAGGTGAGCTCTACAAGTTAGGACAAACCAAGATGCCCAGAACAAGGGTTGTCTCATACATGCACCCATGAGATGCAGGAGTAGGGGACAAGTGGTGGGGGAAAAGCCATATCAGAAGAGGTAGCTGCAATGGGAAATCTCAAAGAAGGAAGTTCGTTTTGTTTTGTTCTGTTTTTATTCAAAGAAGGAAGTTTAAGATCATTTATCTACAGAGGCAGATTTCTGATTTTTAACTAATTTTGTTATCCCAGAATTGCCTCCCTCCATATGTACAGGTCCCTTCCTGCACCTTTTACTATGTCCCTCCCAACCCGTTAGTAATAGACAGCTGTATATTTGAGTTTCTTCTCTGTTCATCTTTTGGCTTAAGTCCTGCTTTACCTGCATAGGGAAAAAAATATTCCTTACTCATAATGAGAGGAGAAATCTTTCCTGATACCCTGGGCCAGATCAGATCTTCCTGCTCTAGATATCTACAGCAACTATCACTCCCCATAATGGGAAACCAATCATGTTATAGAAGTCACTCATTTAATTGTCTCTCATCCCCAATGTCAGTTTCTGGAGGGTGGGAACTCTGTCTGGATTGTCCAGTGCCTGGCACAGAGTAGATGCCTGAAATACAATTATTGAATGGATGGATGGATGGATGGATGGATGGATGGATGGATGGATAGGTAGATGGGTAAATACATGGTTGAAGATCATTGTTCATCTTAACACAATAGTTAAAGTCACCAGTAGCCCATTAACTCGTGCCTACTGTTGTCATTGTAAATATAATTACTCTTAACGATTCTCGTAGCTCATGCTGCCAGGGATGTAATTATCAGTGCCTGTAAGGCACCCTGCAGGTAGCAGGGGGATAGATAGAAAACAGCACCTCGGGTTTAGGAAATCCCTTGTGGCTTGCAAAGCACTTTCTTGTTCACATACGGCACTTTATTTATGCATCGTAAGAACCCCATGAGAACCCCATGAGAGAGATTCACAAGAGGAGGCAGCATAGTGTCCTGATTAAGGGTGTGCCTCTGGATCCAGACTGCCTGAGTTCAAATTCCAACTCTGGCACTTACCAGCTCTGTGACCTTGGGCAAGTTGCTTCACCTCTCTTGGCCTCAGTTCCTTCGTGTGTTGTATGGGAATAGTATTATTGGTTTGGTTGTAATATTTTATTTTTCAGGAAATAACTCATTTATGCCTCATAGTACCTATAAGGTAGATATTATTATTCCCCTTTCCTTTTTTTTTAGATGATATTAAATTCATTTGATTCCCATTCTACTAGGAGGTGGAGGAGCTAGAATTTGAACGCAGAGACTGTAGTTCTTAGTTCTCCTGCAGCTAACCTCTATGGCATGTCCACACACAGGCATCCTTGGGCCCTTCCTTAGCCGCTCTTCATGAGGATACACCTTTGGGGTCAAACCCAACTCATGGTTTCTGGGAGTGGTGCATGCTCAGATGGCCAAGGACCATAAGTGCTCCTACAGGACTGGGGGTGGGAGCCCCAAGCACACTCTTTCTTTGGTGTCTTGTGTCTCTGCTAAAGACATCAGGACCATTTTATATTCCATTCTATAAGATACTTGCTGCTCCCAGGATAAAAATAAGGCTTCCTACTGCACCCTTGAATACAGCTGCCCTCCTGTAAGGCATGGAAAGTTTCTCCAGTGGCTCCAGCACCCTATGACCCATAGCTGGGAAGCCCCACAACCCAGGTGGAAATACGACAAATTTGAATGTGGTTTATAATTAGTTCCCAATAAATTGGGAGGTAGGGGGGTCAATAATTATTATTTTGCAAATGAGGAAACAGAACCTTGGGAAAATGAAAGGACTCGCCCAGGGTCCCATAGCCAGGATTTGAGAGGACTTGGATTTGAACCCATCTTGCTCTGACTGTAGAACCTGTCTTGTTCACTGCCATCAGGCACTGTTCACCCATCAGCCTCTGCTCTTCAGAATAAGGAGGGAGCGCCCCCTAGGGGAAGAGGAAGAAGCACCAGGCTGGGAGTCCAGAGACCATCCCACCTCTGGACTGCCTCCCTCTGTGTGACTCTGGACAAGTTCCTTTCCATCTCTGAGCTTCCAGTTCCTTACTGAGAAAATGAAATTGAGTCTAAAATGCCTCCAACACTAAAATTTTGTGCAAGAGGAAAGGATGGTGAAGCAAAGAGATGGGACAGGGGACAAGGGGAAAGAATTGGGGCTAGGTCAGGGGCTCAATCCCATCTTCCTCTCCCCACCCCTCCCCCTTACCGTCCTGGACCTAGGATGGCCAGGTGTCTATGCCTACTGGGTGGGGCCAGTCCCCATGCCAGGCCCAGCCAAGCTCAGCAGAGGCCCTTTGTCACCCAACGCTTGCCGGGGGCCTTGGACACCGGTATTGGGTGTCGGGGTGGATTGGATTCTCTCCTGGCAGCCCTGCAGATACGGCACTTCTGCAAGGGTGGCCAGGCAGGCCAGCAGGGAGAAGTCCGTGCTCTCTTCTCCCGGGCTCCCCGAAGGACGTCGTGGCTGCTGTCCGTGGTGCTGAACTGTGCACCCCCGCCCCCCAGGTGAGGGCTCCATGCACCCCAGCTCATGCTTGGGGCCAAGCGGGGTCCTCAGTGACATCCTGGTGACTATGCATGAGCTGACTCCTCTGGCCAGACCAAGGGCCTTGATGAATGTGGTTGGGGGCTACAAGTGAAAGTGGGAGGCTTTCTCCCATTCCCATGCCTGGGAAACCAAAGGGGGGATAACAGTGTATCAGCAGATGTAGGTGGCATGGATGAAGGAAGCATATATGCTGGGGGACCTGGGGGCTCTGTACTTGGGGGATGGATGGGGTTATGCTCCGGATCGTGAGAGCGTGGTGTGTGTGCGTAAACAAGACTGTGAGCACAGGTATTTTTGAGGAAGGGAGTGGGAATATTAAGATGTATTTCTAGAAGCATGACTGCATGTGACAGTGTTTATGGTGCCAAGGGGGGTGTCCACCAGGGTATGTGTGAAGTGGGACTCGTGTGTTGGTGTATGTGTATGGCAGGGGGGTGGGACCTAAAAGTAGGCAGGTTAGGTGTACAGAGCACCCTGAGCTGTATAGGTCAGAGGGTGTGTATACACCAGGGTGCATGTCATGAAGTCAATGTGTTAAATAGCAGAGTGGACGATTAGGGGGTTAGGGCATGTTACGAGGTTGCACCAGGCTGTGGCTTGGGGGTGGTATATTGTGGAGTGCCCAAGTGGGCACAGTATATTTGGGTTTACAGTGTTTGCTGCTGTGCTATGGGGTATGGTATGAAACACCCACGTTAGGGTATGTGTATATGTAGTGGTTGTTATTTGGGGTGGTTTGTGTGTGTACAAGCACGTGCAGGCTGGGCCTTCCTAAGCACCTGTCCCATGAAGCGTTCAGTGCCTGACCCTTGTCACCACTCTGTGCTTGCCCCCACAGGAGCCACCACCCCTGACCATGTAGATGCCAGCTCCAGGGAGCAGCATGGGCCCCACTGAATGGAGACTTCTGGGTCTACAGCCCTGAGCCCCTCCGGCCCCTGGACGTTGCCCCGTGCCCAGGGACACCCCTTGGAGCTCACCACCGCTGTCGCCAGCCCACCTCGGCCGCCCCCTCCCCCTGGGACCCAAAGTCGGCCACCGGGAGCCACAGTCATCCAGTGAGGTTGTGCTAAGGACAGGCACACGGAGCCATCGCCCAGCAGCCTCTTGTCCAGCGCTGACTCTCGGGCCCACCCTGAGCAGGGACTGGGGCAAACATGGGTGACATGACCAACAGCGATTTTTACTCCAAAAACCAAAGAAATGAGTCGAGCCATGGGGGCGAGTTCGGGTGCACAATGGAGGAGCTCCGCTCCCTCATGGAGCTACGGGGCACTGAGGCTGTGGTCAAGATCAAGGAGACTTATGGGGACACTGAAGCCATCTGCCGGCGCCTCAAGACTTCACCTGTGGAAGGTAGGTGTGGAAGACTTGAACACAGTGCTTGGATTTGGGATCTAGACACCCAATCCCTGGCCTCCCTTCCCCAGACCCCAGGAACCCCCCTCATCTGGGTTTAAGCATGGGACCACAGCATTGCTACTGTGCATTCAAATCCAGCTCCATAACCCACGTCACTGGCCTGGGTTGTGCCCAGCTGTCCCAAATCCAAACTCTGATGGTGGCTCCCTAGGTGTCTGGGGCAGCCATAGGCCATGGAACTGCTGGAAGACAGGGAGGGCAGGAAGATGGGCCGTCACGGGAAAGGTGACAGATACCCATATGTGTCTTGCCCTGGAGATGGGTGAGGGGCTTTTGTGTAACTGAGAAAATGAACAGGCCTAGGATCTTGGGAGAGAGAGAGTTTCAGCTTCTGGGTGCTCCTCTGAAGGGGACCAAAGCCAGGTCACCCGCTGTGAGGCAGAAGGAAGAGAAACCAGCCCAGCCTGAGCACCAGAGCACAGAGTGTGTGTCACCATTCCCACTATCACTTTCCCCTTGCCATGAGGGAGAAGAATTCCCTGCATAAACCCCAAAGATATGGGTGTGAGGCACCTCCACAGCACTCCCCATGCAGAGGCTGCAATGAGCCTCAGTTTCTTCCCATGGAAAATGGAACCGATGGCTACCTCACAGTGCCTACTAGAAGCCTGAGCATACAGTAGGTGCTCAATAAGTGGCAGCCATTATTATTCTAAAAAGTGGATGATAATCTCTCCCCCAAGCACAGATCACAAGCTGGAAGACAGCATTTGAATTCTTATCCCCATGTGAGAGATGAGAAACCCAAGGCCAAAAGGTCCCTCCTGTCCTGTCTCCTGACTCCAGTCCCCATGCCCTGGGCACTGCTGGGTACCAACCCTCAACGCATTTCCTATAGAGGCTGCTTAGGGACCCAGCTGCTCACCTAAGCAGAAGTTTAGAAACACCTTGCTCTCTTGGTGTTGTTTGGTTTTGTTTGAGGGTGGGGAGAATAGTAGCCCAGGGCTTGAGAACGGCTATGTGTGCCCCAAGACAGGAGGGAGTCCTGCCTGGGGGCTCCTGGGCCTCATGTGAACCCTAGTCTGTGGCAGAATGGTCCGTGCTCATCTCCGCCATGAGGTTGGCACACTAGCCTGCCGGGAGGCAGTGTTGCCCTGGTCATCTTTGTCTTTTCTATGGGACGAGGCGATTCTCTTGAGTTGGAAAATCTTAAGTGTCTCTGGGCCTCGGACCTTCTGGAGAACCTAATGAAACTGTAGTCCTTTTTCCCAGAAAAAAACAAAAAAAAACAAAAAACACCCACATACTACAGACATGGCTCACGCTATCAGCACATTCGCAGAGCCCCTCCAAGCAAAGCCATGGACCTTGGCATACGAGACAAACCTTGGTGTTAAGAACCCCACCCTCCCCTCCCCCCTGACAGGCTCTTGGACCCTGGGAAATTGAACGGCCTGCGGCCAAGCTCCAGCACTGTCCAGGGCCATTACCATTTGGTTTACTGTGTCCCCCAGTGCGTCCTGCTGGGAAAGCAGGAGCACACCCAAGGGCAGGGATCCTGTCCTGCTCCTCTCCACCCATCTAGTTCCCAGTCTAGTACCTGGCACAGACGAGGTTGGATAACTGCCCAGTAAAACCCTGAGACGTGGCCCACAGGGAGCAGCTCATATGGCTGAGCAGCCAAAACAGCACATAATTCAGCCCAAGTGTAGCATGGACCCCAGAGCTCAAAGGAGAGGCGAGGTGGGTGGGCCGTGAAGGTCAAGGAAGGCTTCCTGTAGGAGGAGGCATTGGAACTTGGCTATGGAGAAAAGAGAAGGAAAAGCATGTAGCATGGCATAAAACAGCATTTCTTAGGTGGAATCCCGCAGAATGCCAGTGTACTTGCAAAAAGATAGGTGTTATGTGGGAATAAAGGAGACCCGGTTTTCTCATCTTTCCAGTGGAGAGAATGATGACAGCTCAGAACATTGCTCTGCTGCCTGTCAGCTGTGTGTGTTTGGGGCCTTTTGTCTGACCTCGCTGGGTCTTGGCTTCCGAATTTTTCATGAGGACCCAATGAGATCTCTGATGGGAAAGATCCCTGAGAAGGAGGAAAGCCCGCTGCAGGACTAACCAGAGCCTCTGCTGTGTTGGTCCCTAGAAGGATCTCCCAGGTGCAGGTAGAGCTGGAAGAGGTTTGGGGAGAGGCAAAAGAGCGGAATGCTAGTGACCTCAGACTTGGGTGACCTGGGTTCAAATCCTAGCCCTGCCATTTACCAGATGTGGGATTCTGGGCAAGGTATCCACCACTCTGTGCCTCGGTTTCCTCAGTTGTAAAATGGGATCATAATAGTGACTGTCTCGTAGGGTGGTGAGGGCAGAGTGCAGTGGCTTAGAACAATGCCTGGTGCATGGATAGTGCTACGTGTTAGGACTCAGCCCCAGAGACTAACCACCTCCATTTCTGCATTGGTAAAATGGGTTGTGAACGTTGAATGAGATTAGGCCAAGTGCCCCGTCTCTAAGTGCTTTATAAGTGTCAGCTCCTGTTGCTGTTGTTTTCATTATGGTTATCATTACTCTGGAAGAAGCATGTCCTCTGGAAAAGGTGGAACCTGACCCTCATGGAATGCTGGCCAATGTCCGTGAACGGTGTGACTACTTTTTCCCAGGCCCTTCTGTGTTCTCTTTGCACGTGTTCCTAGAAGCATGCGTGGCTATCCCATTTCGTGGATGAGAAGCCTGAGGGCTCGAGGTCACCACCACAGTTCCCATCAGAGCAGACTTTGAACACAGCTCTCTTGAACACAGCACCCCAGAGGTGCCTTCACACCTGAGCCAAGCGTGTGCACCTGGGAACAGTCCTCTAAAGACGCCTTCTGTGCGATGAGGGCCTGAGTAGTTGGGGGCCACCTTTTCTCTCATGTTCAGCATTTGTCCTGCCCTGTTTAGCCCTCTTCTGACTTCGAGAAATGCTTGCTTGGCCTCCAGCCCTAACCCCCAGCTTAAAAGCCATGTGGTCTGCGGCTGTGCCAGGTCTGGACGGGGACTCAGGTTGGCCATTCCCGACACCCTCTGTGCCCCTGGTCTGCTCACGTCAGCAAGGAGCCGGCCTCTGAGTCACTCTACAGGAAACTGCTCCAGGCCGTGCATAAATTAGCCTTCCCCTTCACATCCAGCTAATTTTAGGCAAAAAGATCTCTGCAAGTGATAGAGGGAGGTTGACACCAGGAGAATTCAACTCCCACCCGGGGTACCACCTACTGCCAGCACAGGCAAGGGACTCAGTTCCCATGACCTGACAGTGTTGGACTTTCCCCCTGAAGTCCTGACTCTGGTGACAACTCTGGGGTAAACGGGCTCCCTATGAGGGCCTCTCTCCCTGAAATGAGTTCTCTTTCTTTCCTCTTCCACTGTTGGTTCTGTTCCACTCTGGTGATGCCCTTCCCTCCTTACCCTCCACTGCTTCCTTTCCTTCCATACCCTTCCAGCATAGGACAATAGAGCCCAAGGCCCAGCTTCAAATTCTGACAGGCTTACTCTTCAAGGGACACTTATCTTCAAGAGACATACCGGAAGAATTCAGTTAACTTCCCCAAGCAAGCCTCCATTGCCTTATCTGTGAAATGGGAATAATAACACTACCTACCTCACAGGATGTGAATATTAGATAATCCACATGAAGGGCTTAGTGTGGCATATAGCATATCCTAGACACTTCCAAAATAACATTCATTGTCATTATTATTATAACCAAATATTTCTTACAACAACAACATGCATGGGCCATATCCTCATGAAAGAAATGGGGCGATTAAATAAGACGGTACTGAGCAAAGAGTAAAAGTGCTACCAGAGAAGGCTTCCCAGAGTAGGCTACTTTGTGATGAGTCTGGAAAGATGGGTGATGAGTGGCCTGTGAGCCCCCAGAGGCAGGAGCTGTTTGTCGTTCTCCACTGTGTCCCCAGCACTTGGTACAACACCTGGGGGATTGAACACATATTCACCGAAAGAAGGGAAGGGGATGGGCACCGAGGTGGCTTGGTCAGTTGAGTGTCTTGACACTCTGGATTTTGGCTCAGATCATGATCTCACAGTCGTGAGATCAAGCCCCATGTGGGCTCCGCACTGAGCACAGAGCCTGCTTAAGATTCTCTCTCTCTTCCTCTGCCCCCTCCCCTGCTCGCACGCTTTCTCTTCCTCTCTCCCTCTCTTCCTCTCTCTCTCTATCCTTCTCTCTCTCCATCCTTCTCTCTCTCCCTCTGTCTCTCCCTCTATCTCTTTAAAATAAAATAAAAAAATAAGAAGAAGGTTGGGAGACAGAAGAGGTTGGGGATACCCCTGGTGCGGGGTGGAATGGAAGGCTGTAGCCAGGGGACAGGACACAGGACACACGAGACACTGTGTCACCCATGGAACTGGCTTCAGTTCCCCAAGCTCAGAGTGGCATTGCCCTGAGCTGCTGGGCAGGAACATCCCTTGTCCTTCACTTCCTAACACCTGCACCTCGGGCTGTCAGAAGGGGCAGCTCAGACAGGTCCCTCTGGGTGCCCCCTGCATTGTGTGTTTCCTGGTTGGGGAGAGAAGGGGACAAAGAAGGTGGGGCAGCAGCACGGTGGGGTGGGAACTGGATACTGGAGTGTTGTGAAACAGAACCTCCGGTTAATTTTGTATGAATCCTGCGGCCTGCCCAAGTGGAGGAGAGAGTGGGGCTGAGGGAGGAGAGGAGAGCGGATCATGGGGACAGTGCCTCATGTTGCATAAACACAGTGTTAAACCAGAACATCCGCGGACCCGGCAGGGACCGTGTCATCATCCACAGAGCTGCCACCAGCTGGGCACGGGGGAGGGTGTGAAGGCCACGTGTGTCTTAAATGTCTCTGGGTCCCAGGCAGTGGGGATCATCTGTTTATCATTGTGACGCTCTATTTCTCCATGTTCTCCATCTCCCCATGCATCACGGGGGCCCGGAGAGGTTGATAGGGAAACTGAGGCAGCCACAGATTCAGCAG